CGAGATATTATTCCTTTTTAGCCTGTTAATTATAATAGATGTATTTGGCCTAGTGTTAATGTATTTTATGATTTTGGATGTTTGGCTCGTGGGGTAGCCAGGAACTGTGTACCCAAGATTTGTTATAGTGGGATATTTTGTTGGTGGTGGTCTCGTGGTTTTTCCCCGTAGTTTTGAGGTTTTCCATGTAAATCGTGTGTCTCTTGGGTTTGCTATTTATTTTGGCTATTTTGTATTGTATCGTATTTGTACTTATGTCGGTCCTGGTGATTTTCATTTGTCACAGGTAGTGAGATTTTTCCCAACAAAGTGGTATCAAAGCCCTGGTTGTTGATCGGCGCGAGTATATTTGACATGGGGAATTTTTATTATTTAGAAGTTAACGACAGAAATGGGGTACGAAATTTTTTTTTTTAAAAAAGTTAATTAAAAGATGAGCCAGGGCACACAATGCATTGTGCACCCTATTGCACGATATAACATTTGATCACCCAAGTGGTAGGCTTCCCTAACCACTGCTCAAATCAACATGACATATAGCCATAATATTCAGGATAATTTTGTACTGAATACGCCTAATATAAATCAGGGTTTTAACCCAGGCACCCGAAGATTCATGACTGGATACTATGCGCAATTCACAACAAAGAGTACAACAACCTCAACAAGTTTTCACATCCTCCATATTTGAAAAAAATACATATACTTTCTCCAAAAAATACACATAATTTCTCCAAAACACGTAATTTTTCCAAAATATATAACAATATATATATATAGATATCATACAAATCATTTTGGGGTTTGTAAACTAAATTTTTTATGAACATAAACACTTGTCACAAAATCATTTTTCAGGAATTTTGAAAGTAGTGAACGCAAGAAGTTTCAAGGTAGGTAATAACCATACATTGATTTCACGAAAACTATATTTAGGGTTTTGTAAAAGATTTTGGTGAACGTAAGAACTTACATACTTTTTTTTTTTTTGAATGTTACTGGCTCTATTACAATGTAATATATGTTCATATACTTTTTCAACCTACTGAAACACAAAAAACCAATAACGTCTCCACTGAAGCTCGAATTCACAACCTTCCAACTGAAAGTCCAACCCGGGTACCATTAGACCACATAGTCTTGGTAAAAACTTGCATACTTAAGATAAACTCCAATATAATTACCATATACTATATCCTTGAAAATATATAAATATATCATTGATGGAATAATCACGGAGCCAGATTGGAGCAGGACAACACGGACCGGGTCGGACCCCACGCCCACCCGCGATGCATGGTGAACCGCCCCGGGGTCGGCCCAACGGGGGATCGGCGTTGGCCGACCTCCCCGAGCTCGGTCGAGCCCCATGGGCTCGGCCGAGCCCATGCTCGGCCAAGGGCTGGGTCCTCGCGTGGAGCGAGTCCCGCGGCGCGGGCCGCGGCTTCTCCCGCGGGCCTAGGGCCCGTAGCGGCCGGGAGGTATATAAACACCCTCCGGTGTCCTAATCAATCATCTTCTACCTTCTGACAACACTTGTACTGTTATTACACGTCCTGAACCTCTGTAATAGCATTTTATGCTCAATTAATATAATATTTATCGTTTTATTATTCGTTCATCATATTCGTACATACATACGGGTTGTATAATCCGGACCCCCGGGTTCATATAATCCATCATTGGTGCTCTTGGTGAGTCCAGCATGATGTACTGACTCAAGGGGAAGGGATCCGGAAGAGGCGTAGGAGTCAACATGTAAGGGGGATGCGTAGCTAACGGGTGTGTATAAGGATACTCAATGTAATAATGCTCAACGTAAGGGGAAGGAAACCGATCTAAGTCAATGGACTCGTCATCGATAGGCGGGAGGTCCGTGTAGTCAATAGAGTCCAGGACGGTCCATTAATCAAGGAACAAGGGTAAATCTACGGGGTGCGAGTCCTCGGCAAGAGGCACTATACACATAAAAACTAGCTGAGGAACTCTAAAGAGGGTGTGCAACGAAACTCACCCGACTCAAGCAAGGAGGAGATGAACAAAGAAGGCGCGGTAGGGGGATGCGACGGCGTGGGGTCGGCCTCGGCGGGTCGGGGTCGGCCAGTGGCGGGTCGGGGTCGGCCGGTGCGGGTCGTCCTCGGCTGGGCTGGGGCGGGTCGGCAGGCGGCGGCAGCTGTACGGCGGTCGGCGGCGGCGTGCGGCGGTCGGCGGCAGCTCGGACGGTCGGAAAATTAGGGGGAGAGGGGAGGGAGACTTCTCAGATTTTTGGGAGCTTTGTTGTGTGTGTGGGGAGTGATGAGGGAGCTACTTTATATAGAGGAAGGGGGGGGGGGGGGAAGGGGGGGAAAAAGAGTGGGCATTTTTTGGGAAAAGGGGGGAAATTTTGGGAGAGGGAAAGATGTGGTTTTGGGAATGTGATGAGGGGTTTTCAGAAGATGGAGGGGTATTTAAAGGGGAAGTTGAAGGGTTATGGTAGGATGAGGATTCCTAAGCTGATAAGGATGAACACAAGTTTAAATTCCAGTTCGGTTAGGAGTCCTATCGCGATGAGAATTCTACAGGAGGATGGGTTGGAATTTTGAAACGCGATTTGGGGCCCCGTAATTATTAAGTTTGTTTTTCTCTCTCGCGCTGACGACTTCTCGCAGCCCCGAGAGTGGGGGACTGATGATGGAATAATCACGGAGCCGGATCGGAGCAGGACAACACGGACCGGGTCGGACCCCGCGCCCACCCCGCGATGCATGGCGAACCGCCCCGGGGTCGGCCCAACGGGGTGTCGGCGTTGGCTGACCTCCCCAACCTCGGCCTCGGCCCCTTGGCCGAGCTCCGTGCTCGGCTAAGGGCTGGGTCCTCGCGTGGAGCGAGTCCCGCGGCGCGGGCCGCGGCTCCTCCTGCGGGCCCAGGGCCCGTAGCGGCCAGGGGGTATATAAACACCCCCCGGACCCCGGTGTCCTAATCAATCATCTTCTACCTTCGGAAAACACTTGTACTGTTATTACACGTCCCGAACCTCTGTAATAGCATTTTATGCTCAATGAATATAATATTTATCGTTTTATTATTCGTTCAGCATATTCGTACATACATACGGGTTGTATAATCCGGACCCCCGGGTTCATATAATCCATCAATCATAATCACATCCACACTTTATAAAAATATTTATACACCACGTAAAAATCATTCATAATTTTTTTAAAGAAAAATAAATATTTGGGGTAAATAATTTTGATGAACATAAACACATACCTAAGAACGAAAATCCTGAACCACCTAAAGTTGTTTCGCTATTTCTCTATTTCTCTATTTCATCCATCCTACTCTCAGGTATACTTCCTCCTTGCCGATTTTGCTTCCGTTTCTAAGAGAGGAGGGAAGAATCAGCCCGCGTGAAACCTTTATATTCCCATCTTAATATACGGACATAATTCCCTTTAATTATGGTGTATGGGCAGCTAGCCACCATACCCACAATAATATATTTTTATTTATTTTATTCCTTCTTTGTTCCCCAATAAACCTAATTCCTTGCCTTCTCCTCATTTCCTTTCTTTTTCTTTCATCTCTACTCTTTAGATTCCTCCAATTCCAACTAAAGATATATATATATGTATATACACGTGCACCATATATATCTATACATACATTAGGATTTAGAAAAAATATTAACATTTAACAAATAACCATGGGAGATAGAAAGACATAATGGACAAATTATTTACATATATATATATATATATATATATATATATATATATATATATATATATATATATATATATATATATATATATATATCTGGAAGGGATCGGGTGCATCTGTTGCTTCCCGTGCGGATGTGCGGTGGATTAATGTGCGTGAAGTTTATACTTAATGTGCGTGAGATTTGTACTCAATGTGCCTGAGATTTGTACTTAATGTGCGTCATGTTAATATGCGTGAGTTTTGTACTTAATGTGCCTGAGTATTCTGTTTAATGTGCGTGAGATTTGTGCTTAATGTGCCTGAGTATTTCAGAATTATGAGCTCAGAAAGAAGCAGAACAGAAACTCACGCACATTAACGCCCAAGCTTCTTGTTACTTCTTCCTTCAATTTGGCCATGGATTCTAGGTTATCAGCTACCTTCAATGCAGTTGAATGTTTATATAAATAACGCACGCACAGTAAAATTTGCACAGCAACAAAGTGTGGATTTCTGTTGTATTATTCCCATAATTCTTAACCTCCATAGCTCGCCTCCGCATCATCATCATCATGGAGGGGGCAAATGGCTACTGGGGATGGGAAGAAGCTGACATAATATTTTCTGCTGCATTTTACACATTCACGCACATTAAGTACAAATCTCAGGCACATTAAACGCAACACTCACGCACATTGAGTACAAATCTCACGCACATTAATCCACCGCACATCCGCACGGGAAGCAACAAATGCACGGGAACCTTTCACTATATATATATATATATATATATATATATATATATATATATATATATATATATATATGATCAAGTTCCAATGCGGCCACGCCTTAACCTGCTATCGGTGCTGCCGCACTATTAAGTATTCAAACATGCACCAATACTGTTAGGAAACGCACAACAAAAAAATGCATCAATGCATCAAAAAACACACCATTAGGTACGCATCACTAGAGAGTGCACCATGCACCATTAGGTACGCACCACCTCAAAATGCACCATTAGGTATGCATAAACACACCACATACTCACATAGTGTTCGAAAAAGCACAATTAAGTGTGGGAAGGTACGGTGCACTATTTTCAGTTTTTGGGTGTGTGGTGCATTTCTTTGTTGGTACATTTTTACATACGTATTGGGTGTGTGGTATATGCATATATTGATGAAGTATGTGAGGTATAAGTGATGACAGCATGGTCCATTCTCAAAATTGTGACTTATAAAAGGACTTCACTCATTGATAACAGTGACAGCATTCCCATTTCCCCTAAGCTAAAACCTTCTTTTGTTCTCAATTAACAAAGATGGCTTTTTCTTCTTCGGTTCGTTTGTTTGCAACAGCCTCACTCTTGGTGATGCTCCTCATAGCCTCTGGTTTGCTCTCTCCCTTAGCTTTCTCCATTATATATTTCTTCTTTTTAACATGCTATGTATGTGATGAATTGAATTATTTCGAATCGATCTATCATTAGTGTGGGCTTTTTTTTTTTTTTAGTCTGAAAAAAATAAAGATGTTAAGTTTATGGCAAAAACTTATACTGAAAATATAATGTTAAGGGAAAATTGTAAAAAATGCCCCTTTACAATATGTCAATTATCAATGTCATCCCTGAATTATGAGTGGTGTAAATGTTGTCCCTCAATTATCAAAATGGTGCACATATAGCCCCTCCCGTAACAGACCTGTGGTTCCCCATCGCTATCCATCGCTGGTACTTCGAATCGAGGGAAGGGAAAAAGCAACTAAATTACATATTTACTCCGACTTAACGGTGTCATACACTAACATGGAACCACATGTCCGTTACGGGAGGGGCTATATGTGCACTGTTTTGATAATTGAGGGGCAACATTTACACCACTCATAATTCAGGGGTAACATTGATAATTGACATATTATAGAGGGGTATTTTTTACAATTTTCCCTAATGTTAATCATGAATAAAGTATTTTCCACCCTATTCCGTTCAATTCCAAGGCCAGGCCTCAGATCGCTCATGGTCATGCATGCTCAGATGATGCTTTAGTTCTTGCCAATGACCTTGTGGCCTAGTGGCATGAAGTGGACCTCTCTCATATGGAGGTCATTGGGGCAGTGTGATTATGAACATATACTGAATTGTAAGAGTTAGTTGCACTCAAAAAAAAAAAAAATAAAAAAAAATAAAAAAACATACATTTACTTCTTGTTTGATGATGTGAGTGTTAATTCGATCTAATTGTGCAGAGATGGGTGCTGCTGCGAGTCTTATAAAATGCTTGAGGAAGAACTTGAAGTTGGAGGAGTTATGTCTTCCATTGAATCCCAAATGCAATGAAGTTTGCAAGTCTGATGGGTTTGCCAAAGGGATCTGCATCCATTTCATGTGCACCTGCATCACGGGTAGTTGCTAACTACCTTATCTAATATAATATTGCTTAGCTTCCTTCAACTTCACTCTTATAATTATATATATATATATATATATATAATTAATAAATAAAGGTCAGAAATAATATAATCCAAACATGCATGCATGGTGGAGTTTTTCTTTTCTGCTTTGGTTGCAAGCAAGCCCCGATCCTCTCATGTTGTTTGGATTTGGTTGTTACATTTATATGTATTAACATGTTGTGTGTTCGTATTCTTGTCGGAAGTTATGCAATTTTTATATCCTGTCGAAAATTGTTCACTGCACCACTTAATTTTCATTACTTTTTATAAAAGTATTCAAGTTTCTTCTTCTCCAAATAAAAGGTTGAATCTCGAATCCCGACCCAACAGAGCATTTGGAAGAATGTAGATCACGGTGATTCAATGGCTCAACAAACAAGAAAATAAATCTATTTGGTCTCTATGCAAGCTCACATGGTGTAAAGAGGCAATTTTCAAAAACATCTCAAAAGTTCAATATGTCACACATCATTTGAGCACATTTCAAAGATAATATAAACAATGACATACATTTCATCCATATGCAAACCTCAATCAATCACCAGTTAAGAGTCAAGACAAATCAAGCACGAAGTGCGTCATTTTCATACTTTAGAACGAACACCGTCCTCGGTGTTCAATCACGTGGACACGGGGGTAGCAAATTAAATGAGTGGGTGGGTGAAACATGATTCCCCTTTTCCACACTTTAGAAGTGTGGCATGGGGTGTGATGATAAATAATTTGAAATATATGGTTACAATACATATTCTTATAATGATATAGTAAAAATTAACTTATAATAAATTTTTAAAGTATTCATGCATTGATAAAATTTTAAGAATGATGTGTAAACTTGTTCAATTGGAGCTGGTGGAGTTAGGACTGGGCATTTCGATTCGGGTTACCCGAATCGAACCAAAGTACCGATCAATACTCGGTTTAAGGAAACTGATCGATTCGGTTCGGTTAAAACCCAAAAAAAAAAAACGATCTTTTTTTATTTGTTTTTTATTTTTATATAATGTAACCAAATCGACAGTTTTTTTCTAAATGTCCAATATGAGGTTTGAACCCCTAACATCAAGTTAAAAAGCAAAAGCTTTACACATTAAACTATAATCACATTTGTGTTAATATTTACATTTCTATACTAAATAAAGGTATACATTTTTTGTTAAATGTTGTGCACTTCAATTATAATGGACAAATTTCCCCTACTATATTCTTGTTAGACAAAAGTACCCTTACACCGTTATAACTGTGACACCCCGTAAATCTAAATATTAATTGAGGATTAATTGAAGAATTAATCCAACCTTCCTTTGCTAATCCATTTTTAAAAATCCTAAAATTTAATAGTCGAGAGACTAGAATTTGACTAGTCACTTAAATCTATTCAGTGTACCATGTGCTTCATGAGTTGTGCCCTTGTCCCCTTGTCTTTCCAACCTTATTAAGGGTAAAAGTGGCTTTTCACCCATGAATTGTTGTTCAAGCTACCCTAGCAAGACATTTCATTTCATTCATTCATCATTCAAGCCTAAGTCTCAAACACTCTAGTCTCTCTCTAAAATAACCTAGCTTATTCTTCAAGCAAGAAGGTGACCCTCCTAGCCTTGCAAGATCCGTCACCAAGATTCCTACTTTCTTCTTCTTGAGCATAGGAAAGGGTAAGGTTCTTAGGTTTTTGGTGTTTTTAACCATCTTTTAGGCGTCTTTATCTAAAGTTAGAATCTTTCTTGTGTTTTGGCTTGTGTAAAAAGTTGGTGAGGAAGAAGAGCTCTAAGAGAGGCTTAAGAGGGTGCAGGGCCGGTCCTATCATTTTCTAGGCCCGGGGCACCGTAAGAAAAAAAGGCCCTATACCATATAAAAATTTAACGTAAATATATATGAAATTTTAAACTCCATAAAAATACTAATATCAAATAATTTGAAATATATTTAAAAATTTTCAATAATTTACCGTATAAAACTAATTAGAATATCCTACTATTTTGATAAATTTATCAATAGCTTATAGGGAATCCTAAGCACCCCATTTGAATGATTCAGAAGTGAATTGCAATTTTTTACACTTGTACACTACTACTTTTATCTAAGAGATATGTTTATATTCCAAACAATCTTAGAGACTGGTTAAGAAGCTGCTTATACTTCAATATGTTATGAAAACAACATTGTTTTCTCTAATAGTTATCCCTACAAATCAGCTAAATCTTCAATTGAAAAGAAGAGATATTCTCATTGTAGCACACTAGCACTTTTAAACAATTAAACCTATTTATATCAGTAATATCAATTAGCAATATGAACACTATCTTTAACACTATTAGGCCTAAGTGGCTAAGTTCTACACTTGTACATTATCTTTCACACTTTACTTTTGTTGCTCCAAATCTCCAATCAGGCAATCACTCGTTTTTCAATGCCTACATTGTCACTACCACTAGAGTATATTACAGTTTATTAGGCAATACCGCAATAGGCATGGTCTCAGATCATACCCATTTCTCATCAAAATATCAGACAATTTAGGTAAATTTATGTATTCCCATCATTGGCACCGTCAACATATACACAGTAAAGTTGAAATAAAAAGATTAAAAATGAACAAATACCTGATCACAAATACAGAACTTTAAATGATAAAAAACATGCCAACTAGTAAAATTTTCGGCCTCTTTTCTATTTTATGACAATAAGAATTATGAAATTATCGTACTATGATCGATGACGACTGACATACTGTAGTCCTTGCCATAGACTCTCCACCACAATAGAGGCAAGACGAGCAGGAGTATGGAAAAGAAAATTTATCAAGAGTACACAAATCCACAATAGAACACTTTGTTTTCTCCGGTTATTCGACAATAGAAACTCCTAACTATTGAGTTAGTTTACTAATTTTCTTTTGCTAATTTACTTCTGATAATCTTGTTTCTAAAATTTCTTTGGGCGGCTGCTAGTTGGGCGATTCAGTGACTCTTGGGCTCCAAAATGGTGAGAGCCTGACTCCGACTCCTCGATCTCAGGAAGAAGAAATACAGAGTTTTTTTTTTTTTTTTTTTTGTTAATCAATGTATATCTATTATAATATATTTAGGTGTGGGCCCCTCTTCAAGATGGGCCCTGGGTAAGGGCCCAGCCTGCCCTTACTCAGGGTCGGGCCTGGAGGGTGAAAAGGAGAAGTTGTTAGGCTACAAAGGTAACCCATGCTATACAAAACCTATTTTCTTACTTAAATGATGATTATTGGCTTCTATTTGATGTTCTTGATGTGATTTGTGAGATTTGATTCATGATCTTGTGATGATGCATGTTTAGAGCTTGTTTTTAGGTTTCTTGTATGCCATTGCTTGGTTATTTCTTGGGTTCAACTCATATCTTTGTTGTGGGTGAGATTTTGGGTGTTTTGGACTTGAACTTGACCTTGATGATGAATTTCCCCGAAGGGAAAATTGGTATACACGTAGTGTACCCCGCGGGCGGAACGGCGGGCAGTGGCCTACCCGTCACCCCACTCGCCCGGGGAACGTGGCTTGTGGGCATTGTACCCCGAGAGCAGGCCCACAGGTGGGGGTCTACCCGTGGCCCCACCCGCGGGGAACACATGAGATGGTTGCGGGGATTTGTTCCCCGTGACTCTTTTCTTCTTGGTATTGATGTTTTGACCTCCTGTTGTTGAATTATTGAGCTTTTGTGAGTCTTCTTGATGTTTCGTATGTCTAGAGCGATGTGTTAGGAATCCATGTTAGGATTTGGTGTCTTGAATCGTGCTAAGGGTCCAACTTTGTGATTCGTTGGGCTAATATGAGTCTTGAAGGTTCGTTTGGACCATTTTGGTTTACCCGCTTGTTGAGCATGCTAGTTTGATGTTGTTATACTAGTATGGGTGGTTTGTTCCTTCTTATTGGGGTTGGCAACTTGTGTTGTCAATCATTTGATGTTGGATTGTATCCTTTGTTGTTGAGTATTGTCTCGTGACTTTGTTGTGATCTCTTGATTGATCCTTATGATTTGATCTTGTACAAGTCGTTGTACCCTTTGTTGATACTTGATTGGGCTATTGATGAGCATCAATCTTCTTGATGATGATGATGATTGTGTGTGATTATGATTGAGATTGGTGGTAATATTATTGAGCTTTGCTCACGAGGTCGGTGGTAATATTGTGACTTTACAGTACCCTCGTGTACTTGAGATCGGTGGTAATACGGTTCTGATTGGTGGTAAAGATTGGTGGGGGACGACGGTCTCACGCGGAATAAGGTTGGACTCAGAAGTACAGGGTGGCACTAGGAGGTAAAGGTTGGAACTGGTATAAGGCCGGGGGTAGCCATAAGGTTGGAACTATGGAACTTGAAACATGAATGTGTCATTATGTGACTTGTTGTACTTCCTTGCTTATGCATGTCTTGATGTACTCTACCATGTGAATGGTAGGCATCTTAAGTTGTATTGTCTATGATGTTTGTGGTCTTGTTGTTGTGGTGAGGTTGATGATCCTCGTTCTTATTGAGAGTGTGATGAGTCTTTGATGTTGACTTCCTTCCTTGGTTTTAAAATGATACATACCGTATTTCTCAGTTCCAAATGGCTTTGATTATATATATCTATACTATGCTATTTAACGCGTATTGATGGGTTACCAGCATTATTCGCTGACCGGGTGTCGCTATGTTTTACAGGTTTTGAGTAGATGGCGAGGGCGCTAGTCGTTGTGGTAGCTAGTGTAGTTCCCTCCCTTTTTAGTTGCTTGTTTTGGGCCTGTGAGACTTAGTTACACGTGGCCTGTGTGCCTTAGACTTATAATGTTTTGATGGTTTGTTGTAGACCTTGCCTGTGCACCCATGGTTTATGGGTGTGGCATAACGCTTTCCGATTTTAATTAGCTTCCGCTTTTGACTGCTTTGATGATTAGTCTTTATCTTTGAATTTAAGTGTTAAATATGTTGGTAAAATCCGGGGTGCTAGAATAACACTGTTACTATTTAACTCTATCTTTCATAACTCTATCATTATTATCATACACATATATCTACGA